TTTGAATTAGGGTTTGAGCTTGAAAGCATCAGCCCTAACTTTAACCTAACTACAGCAGACGGCTCATATTTGCCATGTCTGGGCTGTATTTCTTTGCCTATTGAATATAATTCTGCTGTCAGAGTTATTAAGTTTTATGTTGTTCCAGAGATTACTACTGCCATGATATTTGGTGTAGACTTCTGGCAACAGTTTCAATTGGGGAATAGACTGATCTCTCAGAATATCAATCTTTCCAACTTTAGCGACTGTAATCCTGTGGAGGCTCTGTCTCTTAACAGTGGTCTAGAGGATTACAACAATTTGACCGCCGATCAGAAGCGGGTAATTAACTGCATCATTGAGAAGTTTGATACGATCAACACGGACAAGGTTGGTTTAGGTCGAACATCTCTGGTGCATCATGTCATAGACACAGGAGACAGTAAGCCAATCAAGCAAAGGTACTATCCGCTCTCTCCCCTGAAACAGAAAGCCTTGGAAGAGGAACTGGACCGGATGTTGGAGATGGGAGTAGTGACCCCATCTCAGTCCGCGTGGAACTCACCAGTGGTGATGGTGGAGAAAGCGAATGGTGACCTAAGATTGTGCCTTGACTCTCGTAAGCTCAATTCTGTATCTAAGAGCGATGCGTATCCATTGCCGTATATCAACCAAATCTTAGACCATCTCAATAATGCAAGGTATTTGACTTCCATTGATTTAAGTGCGGCGTATTGGCAGATTCCTTTTGACTCGCCTCAATCCGCCGAGAAGACCGCCTTCACTGTCCCAAGAAGAGGTCTCTTTCAGTACAACGTTATGTGTTTCGGTCTCATCGGAGCTTCAGCTTCGATGCAACGCCTCATGGACCGCCTATTTGGTCCCGAGTTCGACAATAGGGTATTCGCATTTCAGGATGACATAATCATTGTGGCCAGCACCTTTGAGGAGCATGTGGACCTCTTACATAGAGTCTATCAGCGCCTTAAGGATGCGGGTCTCACGATCAACATGCAAAAATCGCATTTCTGTCGTAGCGAATTGAAATACCTCGGGTACTATGTTGACAAGCATGGCCTGCGGACAGACCCAGGTAAAGTTGATGTCATTCTCAACTATCCTACACCTTCCAATGCTAAGGAGGTGAAAAGATTCCTGGGCATGGCTGGGTGGTATAGGCGTTTCGTAAACAATTTTTCTAAGATTAGTAAACCCTTATGTAAATTAACTTCTAAGAATGTATCATTTGAGTGGACGCGTGAGGCTGAAGAGTCTTTCAACCTGTTGAAGGCCGCTTTGGTCTCCGCTCCTATTTTGAAAATGCCTGACTACTCATTGCCTTTTAGGATTCTCAGTGACGCGTCATCCTTCTCTGTGGCTGCTGTACTCACGCAGACACATGAGGGAGTGGAACACCCTATCGCGTATTGTAGTCGTTCTCTTAACAAAAACGAAGTCAACTACAGCACCACTGAGCGAGAACTCCTAGCGGTGATCTTTGCTCTGGAACAGTTCAGGCAGTACGTGGAAGGCCAGAAATGCACCGTAGTTACGGACCACGCCTCGCTGTTGTGGTTCCGTAAACTTAAGAATCCGACAGGTCGCCTGGCGCGCTGGAGCATGAGGTTGAGCCAGTTTGACGTCGATATAGAGCATCGAAAAGGTAAAGACCATGTGGTACCCGATGCTCTGTCTCGAATTCAGATTGACACAATAGGCACCAGCGTTACTAGGGACTCTTGGTACCTCCACACTCTAGACAGGGTGTAGAAGAACCCTCAGCACTTCCCCAACTTTGATATACGGAATAACTGTTTATACAGGCTATCAAAACAGAAATACTCTCTGACTTCTGATTTTGAGTGGAAGCTGGTGGTGCCGCTGGAAGACAGGTTATCCCTGCTCACCAAGTACCATGACGACGTCATGAGTGCCCATGGGGGTGTTTGGAAAACCCATAAACGTTTGGCCCTCTACTATTACTGGCCTAAGATGTACGAGAGTGTCAAGGAATATGTAGACAAGTGTGAGACTTGTAAGCAGTACAAACCTGTGAACACTACTCGTCCCGGCCTAATGGGGAATCCGAAACGGGTGTCTAGACCCTTTGAGGCCATCTCGTGTGACCTGCTGGGTCCATTCCCTACTTCCAGCAAGGGAAACGTTCATTTAATTGTGGTCTCGGACTATTTCAGTAAATATGTCATGTTGTGTCCTATACGGATAGCAACAGGCGTTGCTGTCGCGAGATTCATAGAAAAGAATGTTTTCTTAGTCCACGGGGTTTGTAAAACCATTTATATGGATAATGGCCCACAGTTTGTTAGCAAACCGTTTAGGGACTTGTTGGTTAAGTACAATGTGCCTAACATTTATTATAATCCTCGATATCACGCGCAGACCAACCAGGCAGAGCGAGCTATACGCAACGTGGTTCAGGGAATTTCCTGCTACGTGAAGTCACATCACAAGAAATGGGACGAGAATCTCGTGGAACTCCAGTGTGCCCTAAACACTGCTGTCAGCGAAGCCACTCGTTTCAGTCCCTATTTTCTTGTTCACGGTAGGGAATTCATAGGGGATGGAGTTCTTTATAGACAGACAGAGATTCCTGCCCATCCCAATTCTGTTTCCATTGACAGTCCAGTGTCCTTTGGTGAGAGATTGAAGGAACTACATCGGATATACGACCAGGTGAGGAATTACTTAGATATTGCTCACCGGCGTAACGAGAAATACTACAATCTCAGAAAAAGGCATGTGGAATTGAAAGTGGGACAGATCGTTTATAAGAGGACATTCTATCTATCTAACAAGGCTAAGAACTTTACGGCGAAGTTAGCGCCTAAATTTATGAAATGCATTGTCACCGCCAAACGCTCTCCTTTGGTCTATGAACTGTCGGATTTGGATGGTAAGGATCTGGGAGTATATCACATTAAGGACATTTTGAAGTATAGTGAAAAGGAACAACCTTCTGATCCTTCTCCTACCTATGTCAGTTCCGTCTCTACTCGTATGTGAGATTGCACACTTCGCGTCGCACGGTCTCTCTTTGCCACACACCTGCTCACTCTATGGTGTTCACTTATGTGAGAACCATACAGTGATTCGGGTAGTAAATAGGGTAACACCTCTGTAGTATTGGGTGAAGGCCTTTTGACTTAGTTTTTTTGGTAGTTATTGTTTTGTTTGGATTTCATATTGCTCACAATTAGTGTGGTCAGCGCGAGCTATATAATTTATTTTGCATTTCTTGGGTTGACCCTGGTGATGATATTCCCTGCGCATGCTACGCAGGGAATACTTTGAGGGAGGGGGTGGTGTAACAGTTATTTTTTTTACATTTGTATGGTCTTGTTAAAAGCTACATCTATTAGCCGCGTTGCATTGTTGTTGATTTATCTAAGGTAGTTTATAACTACAGTATTGATCTTCTGTGTTCACTGATGTTAAATGTCAAAGTAAAGTGTTGAGTAGGGATAAAGTCTGGAAGCTTCCTGAACCTAGGATATATAAGTCCGGCTTTCTTCCACGGGAGACACTGCTATCTCGTGCCTTCCGATCTTATATAGTGTTTTGATTGCTGTGTGATTTGATTTTCTTAATATATTATCTGTTCAAAAGTACCCACACTAAAGTGGTGAGTATGTTCTTAATTCTACTTAAACCTATTTGTTTCTGGAACCTGTTTAATTATATGAGTGCTAATCCATTCGTAGGGTCCCAGATTTCGGGCTCAAGACGGTCAGTCTCAGACGGCGTGCTTGCTCTTTTGTGGCCTTCTGGTACAGACTCAAGTTTCTTGGTACCCTCTGGCAAAGCTGGTGATTGCGCGGCTCACGACGCAAGCGGACAGCCGTACCCAAGAGTTACGTACTTAAACTTATAATTACAAATTGTTAAAACTTTTATCCATATCTAATATAAATAGCCGACTCGGGCGGAAGAGGAAGTAACCTCCTGGAGGGACGACGAGGTGGCACCGAGCACCATCAGCTCGGCTTTAACGCGCTCCGCTGCAGTTTTTTTTTTCTTTCTTGTACCCACACTAATTTATTTAATTTTTCATTGTAAATTTGAACTACTTTTTTCTCTGAAATATACATGTATGTATAACTGAGGTGTAAGTTGTTTTCCTCTAAAGAGTCCCATAGGTTTCCCACACGCACACACTTCTATTCTCATACAAGGCGCCCTGAGGTAATCTCTTGAATCTCTCCACTGGGTCAGCCGGTGAGTAGTCCGCCTGAGAAGAAAAGCGGCTACAATCTATACTAATTAACTAAAATAAACTACATGCTATTAAAATCGCAAAACTCAGACCAACAAAAAGAAATAACATAAAATTTGTAAACAAAAACGAACTTACATCAACTTAGGAACTATAAAATTACTCTTTAACATGTAGATAAACATACATATGTTTTAAGATTATACTTTGGGAGTCAAAAAGTAAATGTGAATCTGGACTACACTGAAGAAACTCATTGATAAGCCTAATTGCTTTAGCAGGGAGGCTATTGTCAGCCTGGGGAGAGCGCCACGTAGGCGGATAGCACAGGAGTCTACGTTGTCGTCTTCCAACGCCACGCATATATTGGTCGGGAACAAAAAAATGTATTGATTCCCGTACAACAGGGCTATTTAATAAGTAATGGTATACTTAATCCTAAACCTTTTGCAGCAAAAAATATTGATTAAATAAGTACTTTAATTTGCGTACTAGCCATAATTCTACAATCTTATTCGTAAAGACTAATTTTCTCGTAAGAAAATAATATTTTCATTAATTACATTCTTTCACTATCCCTATAATATTTACTTTAATATAATAATGGGCTTACTAAAAACATGAAAATAAAACAATATCTTATAATGAATTAAAATGAAACGGTATAATTGACAATAATTGATTTATTTATTTACGGATTGTCTTTCGTAATGTAATAAACATTACAGAAGACAATCCGTAAATAAAGTGTTAAGTTATGCAAATATATCTTAGTTCATTTATTTTAAGGTAAATTGTTTTGGCATTGGCACGCTGGGTTAGGTGCTACTACTTCACCGGAGACATTCACAGCAACTAATATTGCCATCTTAAGTCGAGCAAATAAACCATCTTTACCGTGGTCACAAATGGGGGTTGGACTTGTCGAAATATCTTCCCCGCTCTCTCTTATTGTAGATTCAGTGGGGATAACATCCGTACTGTCATTAGAGATGTTGTCCGTGGTATCATCAGAGGCATCATCAGTGACAGCCAAGGTAGTATCATCGGTACTACTATTTGCATCACCGGTAGTAGTAACATCCGTAATATCGTGAGTGTTGTTATCCGTCATATTATCGGTGTATAATATATAATTTGTGGTTTTATCGATAGTAACATCGGTGGTATAATTTGTGGTTTTATCGATAGTAACATCGGTGGTATAATTTGTGGTTTTATCGATAGTAACATCGGTGGTATCAATGATAATACCGTCAGTGGTAACATTATTGCTATCATCATCATCTGTTTCATATAGTAAGCAATCGCTTTCGGATATTCCGGGTGGTAAATACCGAATAGAATCTACTAAGACAGTGGAATGTGCCGAAGCCATGCCTAAAATAGAAAACTGAAACAAAAAAGTGGTAAAAATAGAAACCATAATTATTATTTTTTAATTTAAACTATAGCCAGTTATTTTTTAAATATCAGGAGTAGGATGTTAATCAGAATAATTCAGCCGTGAGGCTAGTTGCTGTTTCAAAAGATACTCAGAGCTTCGAGGCAACTATGAAAATTGCCTTAATATTAGACTACACGGTCCTCACAGAGGTGCAATTCAAAATTTTGTAAGCGAAAAAAATAGTTTTAATTATAAGAATTCCGCATTATAATACCACTTATCAACAGCAAATGCTATCAAAGTAGGATATGTTTGTATAGTACTCTAATGATTACTTAGACTTAGAAGTATCTGCCATAGACATAGACATATTGCATAAAAACTGTGTACAAATAAAGGTGTTTTTACATATTGATATCAGGCTCAAGAGTTACCCAGTTCAGGTGTTGCAATTTATGTGAAATCAAATTGAATACAAAATTTATTGATACGGCTACACTATTTTAGCATCAAAGAATTCTCTCAGACTATAGAACACATTGTTAGTTAACCACTTTTTTTAACTATTTCTAAATATGTTTCCATTTAATTTTTTTATGTCCACGGGAATGTGATTAAATACACGTATATAGCAGTGATATATGTGCTTTTGTAGTATATGGCATTATTAATGTTCGGTATGCCAAAAATCTAACACACATTTTCGTTCGCCAAAAATTCAAAAAAAATAAAGTAATGGTAAAAAAATCATTGTAATGATGATGGAATAATGAAAAATATTGTAAATATATTATGTTATTGACAGATATTAGTAAAAGTAGAGTTATTAGATTTTCAAGTATCTTAAGAAACATACTACGCTTTTTTACAATAAAGTTATTTTACTCTGAACCATTCTATTATTTTTTTACCTACACCTTTATTGTGATGAGTTAGTAAATATTACATCACATCCCTGTTAAGTTATGTTGATACACAATTTAGATTTAAACAATTAAAAATTTCCACTCGATCGAATACCCATACGGTAGCACCACTATTAATTGTTTTATACCATCATCGTCATCAGCAAATCGGAGTCCACTGCTGGACATTATGTCCAGCAGTGGACTGCGATGTAAAAGGCCTATTTCCAGGACATAGGCCTCTCACTTGGTTCGGTCCTCTGCTATTCGCTTGTTTTTTTACCAAAAAATACAAAATTATTGTGATACAAAGTAAAATTAAATACTTACAAGGCCCCTGAACGGTGATCTGCCTAGTATGGTAATTTGAATAGTGCCCCAGCCTTCAGCAAATTCATAACCCCATTTGGTACGTGTGCCTGCATCTGCATTGTGTTCATCCAATACCGTAACTTGTATTAGATCAAAAGACAAATGATTAGCCATAAATACGTTCACTTCAATAGTACCACCAGGTATCATATCATAATACGGTGATGAGACGCAGCTAATTTGCTCATTCGGATATATAAACTGTGTACTACGCTCGTTGAAACTTTTTATGTTTATACTTTCAAAAGTCCCGATTGCCCATTTATGAGCTATTTCGTGAATAATTGAACAAAACCCCAACTCCGATGAAAATAAATCGTCGAAGCCTTCTTCAAAAGTAAATCTTTCACAAGAGAATGCATATGTTACCATTGTTAACAAAACAAAAACTTTGCGTATCATTGTGGTTCGTAATTGCTGTTCCAAATGCTAGTAGATACGAAATCTTTATACATTTTGCCTTAAATACACGAATCCTTTTTATACTCTGATAAGATATCCTTCTAATTGATTTGTTTAATGAAGTCGATATTTTGTTACACTTGTGTGTAGATAACTTTTTGCAGTAGATTTTTATTGATTAGAATTTTGATTCTTGATTTGTACAATATTTTAATTGTTTTATCGATAGTCTTAACATATAGCATAGATAATAATTAATTTATCATACGGCACAACAAGACATGCCATAGAAAGAACAAGTGCCCAAGTCTATTCTTAACCAATAGGTATTTAAATTTTAATAACGGCTAATGATTTGACCGGCTTTTCTGTAAAATTAGGTGTTTTTTTTTCTGATGAATTAATTTTAATTTTTGATTTAAACATATTTCTAACTGTTTTGTCGATAGTTTTAACATATAGCATAGATAATATATCATAAGGTACACTAGGATATGCTACTGGGAGACTAAGTGCCCAAGTCTATTCTTATCGAATATTTCAATTAGAGTTATTACTAACTTCCCACATAGCCTTCGCATGTATAGTAAATCAGATTATTCCTACATATTTTTTGTTATTGGGTCACATCAGATTGTTGCGTCAAATATGTGGATTAGCGTCATCCTCGCTTGAATTTAGTTTCGCTGAAGGCTCTACGGTAACTTGACTTTCTTCAACACTTTCAATACTTATCGTCATATTTGCACTTATTTGCACTATGTCTATATCTTCTTTAGACAACTTGCAGAGTGTAATGTTAGGAACAGTATAGTGTCTATTACTTCGAATGCAGTGGGTTCTGATTGTCTAAGCCGCAATATGATCCTCCCAATCCATGATGAAATCCTTCCTGTTGCTTGTCAAAAAGAAAAACGCCGCATCCTTCTCCAATTACCGCCCTATTTCCGTCCTCCCCTTTCTCTCCAAGCCCTTGAAAGTCTTATTCATTCTCAACTTACGAATATCCCATCCAGAAACCTGCTCCTATATCCTCTCCAGTCCGGTTTTCGACCTGGTCACAGTACCACTACTACCCTAGTCCATATTACGGAGGATATCAGATCTGCTATGGAGAACGGCAAGCTTACAGTCCTGCCACTACTGGACTTCAGTAACGCATTCAACACTGTCGACTTTGACGTTCTGCTGTGTATATAACACACTCTTAACATACAACTGCGATCGACTGGTTTCGCAACTACCTGCTTGGTCGGCGGTAGCACATTAGTATTGAGAGCACTGCCTCATCTTGGTGTAGTACTACAGCTGGTGTACCGCAGGGTGGCGTGCTATCTCTCCTACTTTTCTATGTTTCTATTAATATTATCACTAATGATCTGTCTTCTACCTACCACCTATACGCGGATAATCTCCAGATCTATTCTAGAGCTTCATCGGTTAATCCGGCTGATGCTGTTAGCACCACAAATGGTGAGCTAGATAAAATATGTAGGTGGAGCAACTCCCATAGTCTGAAAATCAACCCAACTAAAACTCAAGTCATTGTAGTTGGAAGTACGAGAATGATCTCCAACACGACTGGACAAAACTGCCTCAAATTGCTTGCAACGGCACACTTATTCCGTTCAGTGATAGGGCCAAAAATCTTTGAATTTACATTGATACTACCTTATCTTGGGGACCACAGCTACAAGAGCTGAGTCGCAAAATGTTTGCTGCTGCAGGTTCGACCTCGCAACTTTCTACCTATTTCAACCAAGATTGCTCTTCCATAATACCTTCTTCTCCCCCCCCCCCCCCCTTGATTATGCTGATGCCAGCTATATAGATCTTACTGAAGGTAAATTGAATAAGCTTGAGAGACTCTAAAATCTCTGCATTAGATTCATTTTTGGACTTCGCAAATATGACGATGTTTCTGAATATCGCTAAAAGCTCAAGTGGTTACCCATTCGCCTTCGCACATATTCTTTCTCTTCTTTATAGTATTCTAAATAATCCTTTTACTCCATCCTTAAACTCGTGCACCTTCCTCAAAAGCCGGCAACGTTCTTGTGACTCCTTAGTTGCAGGCGTTTATGAGCAGCGGTAGTGGCTTTCTATCAGGTGACCTGTCTGCTCGTTTGCCCCCTCTTCAGTACAAAAAAAGACTTGAAACTTTGTTTCATAGTACGTAGAGATTTTTTCACTTTCAAGTAACATCAGCTTGTAAGTAAATTTCAGTCAACTTTTTGAGAATTTAATTATTTTATTCTATACGACAATGCATAACATCAATGTACTCATACATCAACAATCTTGTGAAAAACACACTTGCTACGTTTCAATAACAATTTCAACGGAAATAACAAACATAATTAACTTATTACATTACAGTTACAGAGATATCACTTTTAGGATCTACTTTGCCTATCTAATCAGGTTTTTTCCTGAGTTTTTAGTTCAAAAGGATTATCGTTTAATGCACTACTATCGATAGTAGGACACTCAACAAAACTATTATATGTTGAAAGTTAGACTGGTTAATAAAAACATTCAAAATTTATTTTGAATTCTGTGTACCTAAGTAATAATAAATTTCAATATGAGAATCTAATACCACCACCAGGTCACAATTGACTTCGGACGATGCTCTAAGATTCGCTTATAAAAACTTCTATTCACTTTACAGTTTGTTTTACTATAAGTTATGTCATCTGTCATGGTCAGGTGCTCATTGCTGCCTTGTTGGAAAAAAGGTTTACCTCTGGTTTATACCGATAACCACACTTATTCCTCATTTTGAGAATTTCATATGAGCATATGTAACTACCATAAGAAAAAAAAAATGTTTTGCGACCTATCAGCACATAAACTAAGTTTACAAATAAAATAAAAGGAAATAGCAATATATTCAAATAAATCGAATATTTTCAGAGTAAAATGGCGAATACGACACTCTGGGGACGCATCGCAACTTTTTAAATAAATATCGCAAATAAATAATACTGGTGTAGCTTTGGGAGTTAAAGAGAATATATCATATCGTTTAGTTTAAAAAATATTTAGTCAGTTAAACTCTTTTATTGGACATATTGAAGACATCAAAAAGTTTTTCAATCACCATAATATATTGTCATAAAATTCTTCAAAAACACACTCTTTATACAAATATTTATTTATTATGTTATGTATGTGTCTAATTTTTAAAATAAATATCCATTCAAGTTCCCCAACCGATTGTACTGATATTTAAAATACTTTTATATGAAATAGTAGCAACCGAACAGACTGGAGGTAAGTGACTACGGCGGTAGTAGCCGGTGGACACTAGGGTGTCCCGAATTTTTTTTATTCTTATTTTAGCTACTTAAGACCTCTCAAAAGTTGCGCTGTTAGACGTAGATTAGCGTAAAAATAATTCAAAAAATATTTAAAAATATCCTTAGGGCTCTACCAGCATTTTTATTTACTGAAAATTCGCAAAAACAACCTTGTAGTCAATGTCGTATATTCTATGTTTTATGAATCAATCCTGTTTTGTCTTGTAATTTTATCAATAAGAAAAGCCTCGGCTCTGATTTGCAAGTATCGACAGGTTGTTTTAGCGATCAATCGGTTTGGATCGGACTTGCAAAATTCCTACAAAATTCATGTTTTGACTTGATTTTCGTACGTGCGCTACTTCTACAACAAGACAGTTCGTCTCATTTCTATTTCGATTTTACTCTTGTAAGGAGTTGTTCTATTCTTCTTTGAAAGAAAAACGTAATTTGTGTTACTTAATCATAAAAATGTGTTCAAGGCGAAGTGAGACTACTTGTACTATATTGGGACCTTATAAAGAACTTGACGATCGCCAATTACCTGTTATAAAAGACGTTATTAAGTGCATTTTATTTACTAAAAGTGAATTAAAACTACAGAAAAACGGAAAAGATCTATCGAACACAGAAGTCTTTTCAATAGTTTCTAGAAAACTTAACACAATTTGGACCAAAGCTTCAATTCCCATCGTTTCTAACGTACGGGTTACTCAACTGCTAACCGCATATTTTAACAAATATTTATCACTAATAAGATATCCTAAAAGTAAGAGAAACGATAGCTATGACAACAAAGTTAAGTGCTTTTTGGAATCGTCAAATAAGCTTTTTGACATCGCTGCTTGTAAGTGCACAAAATTGTTCCTGCACTAAACCCCAGAAAGTTTTTTACTGGACCAAAGAAATGATAGGAAAATGGCAATAAGCGGCGTAGACGCAAAAGAAACTGCAAGGCTTTTAAAGAAACATCAAAGACAAGAAAATTTGAAGCGGACAGAGCAAGCATGTTTTCCGAGTACTTCACAAACCGATACTGTACCGGTACGCGTGTTGCCGCCTCGTTCACAGTCGCTTTCAATAGAACCTTCTACTAAAAGTGACTTAAAGGAGTCTCCATCTAATTCATTTAGTCGGAACACTCTGACGCTGCCAACAGTAGCTAAGGTATGTGATCGATACGGACTATCAACGCGTTCGGCAGCTGCAGTCGCTTCAGCAGTCTTAGTTGACGTAGGAATGGTATCTTCCGAAGATCTAAACCTTGTGATTGATAAAAATAAGATTCACAGAGCTGTTTCAAAGTCACGTACCCAAGCCAGCAAAGACATCGATAAAATTATTATAAAGAGTATCTACTTCGATGGGCGAAAAGATAAAACTCTCAAGATCAATAAAATAGACAGCCGGTACCACCGAAAAGAAGTCTTAGAAGAACACATTTCAGTTCTTACAGAGCCGGGATCTATTTACTTGGGACATACGACGCCGAGTCGAGGTACTGCGAAAGGGATTGTCACTTCTATTATAGAATTGTTAGAAAATCAAGGATGGAACTTAGAAGAAGTAAGTTGTGTGGGTTGCGATGGCACTCCTACAAATACAGGTTGGAAAGGAGGTGTCATTAAATACCTGGAAGACTATTTGAAGAGACCGTTACAATGG